ATAGATGTATGTATATAAATATATGTATTTATGCATAGTATTTTATTGTTTCATATTACATATATATATATATGTGTGTGTGTGTGTGTGTTGTGTGTGTGTGTGTGTATGTATGCATATATATACAGTGTTTTTATTTTTCCCAATACAGTAGTATGTATTATAAAATATTTTTATATATCATTATATATTTTAATTTGTATGTGATTATATATTATTATGTATTATTATACAGATTTATAAAGCACAATAGAGATTGTCCGGGGAATTGGTACGAGGATGATCAGCAGTTACATCTGCGAATTCTACTTATAGGACTGTGGTGCGGGGCAATTGCAGTTATTAAACGGACGGAGATGGAAAAGTTGACCATCGCCAAATGTATGTCGACAGCTAAGCTGTTACTGAGTGTCTGTCTTAATGGTTAATTTTGTGTGTACTGTCTGCATAAATATATATGTTTGGGAGTTTCTCTAAGAATGAATTTGGGTGTCTATTTCGGTGCATGGTCGCTGGTGAAGAATGCGACACAATTTTAATTAGGCTGGCTACAACTTCCATCCACCCAAGTTTGATTCCAACTGTGTGTGTCTACGCCTACTTCCGTGTCGTGGATCTTTCCAGGTTACCATATGCATCAGTTGATTTTTTTTTAATATGAACGTGGAAGCTAACTCTATCACGGCATGTGTGTATATCCTAGATATACCCTTAGAGTGGCGGCGGAGAGTAGATCTCTTGACAGTCACAGAGTCAGGTCAGACGAAAAAAATGCGCGAGGCGGGTGCGATTGAATACAGCAGGTAACATGCACGATATACATCATTGTCAAGGATTTTAACCCCTATGGATTCGGTGGATACAAGTACGAATACTGTTTTCGGTTGCAGAATTGGTTCATATGGTCCGATGACTAATTTTTGTCTCTGGATTGCACGAGTATTGGCTTTTAACGAATTGATTGAATGTATTCTGATTCATTGTCTGTCTTTTATGCGATCGGGCAATTTGTTAGTCCTAAATCAGAATGTTGCACGCGTCGCGAAACCCTCATTGTTTTCATCTGGCGATTACACGCAAGTAAGCAATATAGCTTTCCCTAAAAATCGCGTCATTCCATTCTCCGTCATCGGTTGGGACACTTCATATGATGCAGGATAAGGATAAACGAATTCCCATACGCACCTTCTCATGGTATGTTTCCCCGTCGCTTGCTGCTTTTTTTTGTGGGCTTTTGAGTGTCCATTATACTGGCTCATTCAGCTTCAGCTTGGCCGCAGTGGGTTTTTTAATATGTGCGCACATGCCAGCGATAGGATCGAGTAATCGTTCGAAGATACTCTTTGCTCGGCTGTCAAATGTTACAACGGTGCGACGGCCCGGCGGGATTCAAAGCATAGTGACTTTTAATCGTCACAACGTCTTTGTACCCTGGAGCGCGGCTGCCTCGATCACCGATCGGCGCTGTAAACCATGCAAAACTTGATTGCCAAGCTTCGTCTCGATTTGCTTTTGTCCCCGCAATGGCATTTTGTTTTGCACTATAAATTATGCGTACCACCGAGCATTAAATCATTGTGCTTTATACACGTGCGAGTCGATTGAGAGTACTCTGCCAGCAGGTGAATGAATTGATCATAGCGATCATAGTATGGTAACTCTGCGATGCAGATAAATATATATATATAAATATATATAGGTATAGGTATAGGTATAGGTATAGGAATAGGTATAAGACAGACAGGACAAAGCAATGTCAGCACAAGTATCCGATGACCAGGTACCTGCTAGCAGACCGATAGGTATATATATATATATGTGCGTGTGTGTGTGTGTGTGTGTGTGTGTGTGTGTGTATGTGTGTATATATGGATATAGTAGTATCATATATATATATATATATATATATATATATATACTACTATATATATATATATATATTATTATTATATATATATATATATATATATATATATA